GCGGCTGGTGCTGTACGTTCACTCCTGGCACCCTCTCAAGCTCCCCCCTACAGCTTCAGGCACGGCACGCCGGGTGTCCAGGTGGCGGCTGGCGCTGCGTGCGTGCTGCTGCTGTTGTGGGGCTTTGCACTTTGCTGATGCCATGGGGCTCTGCACGTTTCTGCTGCTGTCGAGCTCCGTGCGCTGCTGCTGTCGTGGGGCTCCGCGCAATGCTGAGAGGTCCGCGCAGCTAGTCCATAGGGCTCCGTCCTGGTGCTCGCAAAGGAGGCACGACGGGCAAGGAGGCACGTATGTTGGCAGAGGTATTGCCAGGGACTACTGGCAGAGGTGGCGTGACAAGGGGAGGGGGGGGGGGCAATGGGCACGACGAGGGCCGCAACGGTGAAATAACCAGGGTCGCAATAAGGATAGCGACGGGCGCGAGGGGGGAAAGCGACGGGGCACTCGAGGGAGGGGACATAATAGTTACAGGATGGGGGTAATTGGTGCATTGACCCGCTACTTAACAAACCATTTTATCACAATGGTCTAGTGGCTGGGATTCTAACATGGTATCAGAGCGAAGGTCTCGGGTTCAAATCCTCACATGCTGGCGCTGCCGCTGTGCCGTTTCTTAGGGTATCCATATGAGAGGGGGGTGTTTAAAGACCAACAGCGGGGATGCTGTCAAACTGTTATAATGTTTATATTGTGTAGGCTGTAGTGGGGTAGCCCATAAGGGGTACAACCCAGTTAGGGTTAGTACTTGTACTCAGTTTCTTGTCAATGCATTTTTTCTCGTTCAGTATTCTGACATGGTTTCAGAGCGGGTCCTGTTCCAAGACCGTTATTTTTAGGGCCCACCGAATAGTTCCCTGCCCGTAGCGCGTTACCCTGCTCGTAGCGCCCTACCCTGCCGTCGCGCTGCCCCACCAGTCGCGCTGCCCTGCCTGCCCGTCGTGCCGCCCTGCTGGCCTGCGCGCCGCCCTGCTACTGCCGCGCCGCCCCGCCCTGCCTGTCGCGCCACCCTGCTAGCCGCGCACCGCCCTGCTAGCTGCCGCGCCGCCCTGCCCTGCCTGTCGCGCCGCCCTGCTGGCCGCGCACTGCCCTGCCCTGCTCTCGCGCCGCCCTGCTGGCCGCCGCGCCACCCTGCCCTTGCCCGCGCGCTGCCCCTACTGGCTGCCACGCTGCCCTACTGGCTGCCGCGCTGTCCTGCCCTGCCCGCGTGCCGCCCTGCTAGCCGCCGCGCCGCCCCATTTCCTGCCCACTGCGCCGCCCTACTCGCCGCGCGCCGCCGTTCCTGCCCCTGCGCCGCCCTGCAGCCTGCCCCGCGCGCCGCCCTGCTTGCCGCGCGCCGCCATTCCTGCCCGCGCGCCGCTCTGCCCTGCCCACGCGCTGCTTTGCTCTGCCCTAGCGCGCGGCCTTTCTTGGCCGTGCGCCACCCTGCCCTGCCATAGCGTTTTCCTAGTGCACGCGCGCCACCCTGCTCGTCACGTGCCAACCTTGCTCTGCCCGCTATGGCTACTCTCAGCGTTCTCACATTTGATCATGAGGGGCTGTCCGATCCTGTTCGATATGTGGCTTGATGACTTACAGCTGTACCTACTGAGCGATTCTAGCAACAGCGTTTCGTTGTTTGACCACACGTCTGGAGCCTCTCTCGCCCCTCCCCCGCCACAGCTGACAGTGCGACTCGCTCACAGTGGCTTACCCGTGACGTTGCTGCTCGCTTAGCCGTTCGCAATCACCTGCCGTTAGCCGAACGCGCATCACTTTGGCCAGCACAAGACTTGCTAAAGCCCTGTACGATGCTGTAGTCGCTCGTTACTCTTCCCCTACCACTGCTGCTCTTGGCCGCCTTGTACTGTTCTACCTTTTTCCCGAGCTGTCAGCCTTTGCCACACTCGATTACCTCATCACCCACCTTCGCACTAGCGACTCTCGCTACTGCGCTGCCCTCAAAGCCGAGTTCCTAGACAAGAACCCGCCCCTCGATGTAGATCACTCTCTACTTCATAGTCACCCACCTCCCTGGCTCTCTTCGTGCAGTCAGGGACCACTTTCTCACACTTGACCCCACAGACCTCACTGTCGACCTGCTCGAGAAGCACCTCCTTGCAGCTGAGACCTAGCATAGTCGCTGTAGGTGCTGCTCGTGGGCACTCCTCGCACACCCTTCTTTGACGGGTGTTCCCCCTCCCCCCTTTGCCCCTCCTACGCTTCTGCTGCTGCTGGTTGACATCCTTGGTAATGAGAGGTCGGGACTGTTACTGCTTCTGCTCCTAGTGGGAGGCGCTGCAGTGGCAAGGGCAAGGGAGGCAAGAGTGGTGGAGGTGGCAGCGGGGGTGGTGGTGTGGAGGCGGTGGAGGCTGTGGAGGTGGCGGAGGTGGCGGTGGGAGTGGTGGCGGGAGTGGGGGCTTCGGATGGCGGCGGTGGTGGCAGCGGTGGGAGTGGTGGTGGCGTGGTGGCGGCAGTGGTAGTGGTGGCGGCGGCAGTGGTGGCTGTCGGGGTGGAGGTGTTCTGAGGGGAGTTTTCTGGCGGTGGCCAGAGGCAAGCAGCAGCAGTGTCCGAGCGAGACCCCTACGCCCCAGCAGCTTTGTGAGTGGTTTGCTCAGCGTGGGGCGTCTAGGGGTAGTGTTCGCTGCCCGTATGTCATTTGCACAGGTGACCGCGCTGGTCAGACATGCGGGAAGTTTCACACACGGCACCGCTGCTTCTCCCGCCTTGACGACGCTTAGCGCGCGGAGTTTTGGAGACGAGGCTGAGCACCCCCGCTGGCTAGAGCTTCTTAGGTCTGGTGTTGGTATCTTTGCTCTTGACTATGATGCTATCCTTGCTGCCATGTATGCCTTGACTGTTAGTGTTGAGGGTGACTGTTACCTGTGTGTGCCGCTCGACCCAGGTATATGCGGAGATTCACTCTACAATGGTAGTGAGCTAGACTACGGGGTTTGGCACGAACTACTAGGAGTGATCGTAGCTTTGCCTAGTTCCTTAGTGCTTGCACAATCATGGGAGAAATCGGCAAGAGTTTCCACTAGCAAAGTTGGAATTACAGAATTATTGAGGAAGCAATGATAACAATGACTACATCAGGCTCCTAGCAACTCTGCAGCTAGCCTGGTCGACTGACAGCACAGCATGGTCGACCGCCTGCCAGCGTTGTGTAGAGGAGCCACGCCAACAACTGCAGAAAGGCGACCTGCCAACACAGCAGGTCGACGGTGTGCCAACGCTGCAGCAGAGCGGCTGTCCAGCGTTGCCCCGTAGAAGACAGCAGTGCGCACGCTCGCAGGTGAGCGCAGACAATTGGCCTGACTTGCACCGTTGTGCATCCGTCGGCTGTTGTCTACGCCTGACGAGCCACATCGACTTTGGGATACCAACCCAAAGTCTCCTTCGCCATCGCGACCTCGACGACGTTTGCGTGCCTTTGCAGAACTTGCTGAGCAGGTTACTTCGGTCGACCTGGACAACCCCAGGTGCTCTGGTCGACCACCAAGTGCCTCTGGTCGACCATCAGGTCCCTCTGGTCGACCACCAGGTGCCTCTGGTCGACCACAGCTCCCGTCGAGTTACCCTCTGGTCGACGGACCCCTTCCGTCACCAGAGCTGTCAGCTGTTGTCGCCGAGCTCCCCTCGTCGACCGCTGCTCTCTTGTCAGGTCGACGGACTGCTCCGTCGACCTCCCACTCGGACTGCAGGTCGTCTGACTGCTCCGTCGACCTCCCGGTCCAACTGCCCTCCTGGTCGACGGCCCACCCGTCGCCCAGACCAGTCAGTTGCAGCTGTCGAGCTCCCTGGTCGACAACAACACCACAGCAGTCCGCTGCAGCTCGACGAAGCCTGTCGAGCAGCTCTCCCACTGTGAATGGTCAGCTGCTATCCCGTACATCCGACCAAGTCGTCGGCGTTGCCCAAGCGAGGGCGAGGCCAACACTCCATTCCCGTCAACAGTATAGAGGCTGCTGCTCTATGTGCTAGTGAGTCTGTTCTCCCTGGTACTGCGCTTGCTGAGGCCTTGGACACCTTCACGCTTGATTCAGGTGCTTCTCACTGTTTCTTTCGCGACAGTACCACACTCACTCCACTCCCTGAACCTGTTCCAGTCAGAGTGGCTGACCCCTCAGGGGGCCCAGTTCTTGCACGTTCCACCACTGTTCTCCCGTGTCCTGACGGTTCCGTCTGGCTCACTGTCTGGTCTTCACCTCCCCTCGTTCTCTACGAACTTGGTGAGTACCGCTGCCCTACAGGATGCGATGGTCACTACCACCACTACTGGGGGTCAGTGTGTGGTGATCTGCACGTGTACAATGACGGGCCGTCAACTGGTCACGTTCACACGTCGGCCTGGGTCGAGTCTGTACACACTGACTACTGAGCCTGCTCAGGTAGCTGCTTCTGCTTAGGTGTCCGCGTCAGGTCAGGTAGCCGCCCCCTATTCGTGTCGCCTCCTGTTGCACCAGACTCTCCTTTGGCACCACCCGCCTTGGTCACCCCTCCCTGCCACGCCTTCGTGGCATGCACTCCCGCCTCCTTGTTTCTGGTCTTCCCAGGTCTCAGCCTCCCCCTCCCGCCCTCGCTTGCCCCGCCCTGCCTTCCTTGCATTGAGGGGCGGCAGCGCGCTGCTCCTCACTCCTCCTCGTTTCCCCAGACGACTTCTCCCCTGCAGACTCTCCACATGGACGTGTGGGGCCCAGCCCGTGTCAGTGGATAGGGTTGTGAGTGCTACTTTCTGTTGGTTGTTGATGACTATACGCGTTACACCACGGTCTTCCCTTGCGTAGCAAGGGTGAGGTCCCTGATGTCTTGATCCCTTGGATCCGCGCAGTCTGTCTCCAGCTCCGCGAGCGGTTCCGCGAGGACCTTCCTGTCCTGTGTATGCACTCTAACAGAGGTGGTGAGTTCTCCTCCGACCTCTTGCAGGGCTTTTGCCATGGGGGAGGGCATCCTCCAGTCGTTTACCGCTTCCGGCCTCCCCGCAGCAAAATGGGGTTTCTGAGCGCCGCATTGGCTTAGTCATGGAGGTGGCTCGTACCTCCATGATCCATGCGGCTCCTCCCCATTTTCTGTGGCCGTTTGTGATCCGGTACGCTGCGCATCAGCTCAACCTCTGGCCCCGTGTCTCCTTGCCGGAGACCTCGCCTACGCTGCGTTGGACGGGGAAGGTTGGCGATGCGTCGGTGTTCCGGGTCTAGGGCTCTCGTGCCTTTGTCTGCGATACTTCAGCGGACAAGCTCGCCTCCCACGCCATTCCCTGCGTCTTCCTTGGCTTTCCCCCTGACGCGCCTGGCTGGCAGTTTTACCACCCCACCTCGCGCCGTGTCCTGCCCTCTCATGACGTCACGTTTGAACGAGTCGGGTCCCTTTTACCATCTCTTCCCCTACCGCACTGCCCCTCTCCCCCCCCCCCCGCCGCTCTTCCTCGCTCCAGGTCGTCCTCCGGTAGACCCCCTCCACCCTCATGGTCCTGCTCCCTCAGGTGTGTCTCAGGTAGACCCACTCCCCTTGGCTGAGCCTGTCGAGGTCACTGTAGATTCTGGTGCTGCTGGGGGTGGTGCTGCTAGGGGTGCTGCGCATGGGGGTGCTGAGCCTGCGGGTGCGGAGCCTGGGGGTGCTGAGCCTGCGAGTGCGGAAACCTGGGGGTGCTGAGCCTGAGGGTGCGGAGCCTGGGGGTGCTGAGACTGAGGGTGCAGAGCCCGGGGGTGCTGAGTCTGAGGGTGCGGAGTCTGGGGGTGCTCAGCCTAGGGGTACTGCGTCTGCCGGAGGTCCTGCGGGTGCCTCGCCACGACAGTCTCGCCGGCGGGAGCCTCTCTCACCGCGGCAGCTGCGCGAGTGGTTTGCTCGGCACACACGCCTTAGGAGTGGCGCTGCAGGAGCTGGAGGCCCTGCCGCTCGAGGCACTGGATCTGGAGGTGCTAGAGCTACTAGTCTTGGAGGTGCTCGAGCTGCTGGTCCAGGAGGTGCTCGTACTGGAGGTACTGGAGCTGCCGGAGCTAGTGGTGTTGGAGGCGCTGGAGCTGGAGACCCTGGAGCTGGAGGCACCGGAGCTGTAGGCGTTGGAGCTGGAGGCACTGGAGCTGGAGACCTTGGAGCTGGAGGCACTGGAGCTGGAGACCCTGGAGCTGGAGGCGTTGGCGCTGGAGGCGCTGGAGCTGGAGGCACTGGAGCTGGAGACCCTGGAGCTGGAGGCGCTGGCGCTGGAGGCGCTGGAGCTGGAGGAGCTGGAGCTGGAGGCACTGGAGCTGGAGGCGCTGGAGCTAGAGGCGCTGGCGCTGGAGGTGCTTGAGCTGGAGGAGCTTTAAGCTGGAGGCACTGGAGATGGAGGCGCTGGAGCTGGAGACCCTGGAGCTGGAGGTGCTGGCGCTGGGGGTGCTGGAGCTGGCGGTACTGGTGTTGGAGGCACTGTGCAGCGGCGACCGTTTTTTCGTTCCTCCGCCGCCATCGTCTCTGCCGCCACCTGGCTCGGTCCTTCGCTAGGTTCTTAGTCTCCCGTCTTCTACTGGCCTTACTCCTCGCTTATTGTGTCCACCGCCTCACCACTCGCAGCCGCATTTACAGCCAGACTCCCCACTGCCTGCTCCTTCTCCTTACACTGAGCAGACAGACTCTCTTACAGAGCGTTGTGAACATGAGTCTCGTCCTGCCTTGCCTGTTCGCGCTGTTTGCACTAGTCGTCGTGTTCCTCGTTCGCGTCCTCCTCCTGTCCCCGGCACTCACATTATGGCACTTCGTCCTTCCTCTATTCCACTGCGAGTTCCCCTGCCGTCTCCTCTCGTGTCCTCTCTTGCTGACGGTCCGGACCCTGAGTCTGACGTAGTTCGTGCTGCCAGTCCTACTGTCACACGTCTTCTAGCCACTATTGTCACTGACCCTTCGTGTGAGTCCGCTGCTGCATCTGCACTAGTTGCTGAGCTTGCTGACTTTGCTGCCGCCTGTCGTCTCGACTACGCAGCTAGTCTTGTTGCTGAGTTTGAGTCTGACTGTCCTCCGTCCGTCGGGGGTGAATGTGCTCTTGGCACGGACGTCCTTGAGGACTGGCAGGAGGACTTTGAGTGTCTTGCAGCTGCTGTACCTCATCTCGTGGCCATGCTGCTTGCACCTGAGGGAGACCCCGATGCACTAGACATCCCTACCCCGCGCTCTGACGCAGAGGCGATTACGAGTCCCTACTCTTCTCAGTGGCAGACAGCCATTGACGCAGAGATGGCATCTTGGAAGTCCACAGGCACCTACGTCGACGCAGTTCCCCCTCCTGGGGCGAACATAGTCGATGGCATGTGGATTTTCAGGGTGAAGCGGCCGCCGGGTTCTCCGCCTGTCTTCAAGGCTTGTTACGTTGCACGCGGCTTTAGTCAGCGACAGGGAGTTGACTTCTTCCAGACCTTCTCCCCTACCCCAAACATGACCACTCTTCGGGTGCTGCTGCACGTTGCCGCTCAGTGTGACTACGAGCTTCACTCTCTTGACTTCAGCACAGCTTTCTTACAGGGCAGCGTGCACGAGGAGATCTGGCTGCGCCGCCCACCTGGCTTCACTGGGTCGTTTCCTGCAGGTACCCAGTGGAGCCTCCGGCAACCAGTCTATGGTCTCCACCAGGCGCCTCGCGAGCGGCACGACACACTGAGAACAACGCTTGCGGCTCTTGGGTTTGCTCCTTTGACTGCTGACCCGTCGCTGTTTCTGCGCACCGACATGTCACTGCCTCCATTCTACATCCTCGTGTACGTCGACGACTTCGTTTTTGCCACTGCTGACACTGAAGCACTAGCCCTTGTGAAGTCGGAGCTGCAGAAGAGACACTCCTGCACTAACCTGGGTGAGCTGCGCAACTATCTTGGCTTGCAGATCACCCGGAACAGAGCACGGCGCACCATCACCCTGACTCAGTCACACATGGTGCACCAGGTCCTTCAGCGCTTCGGCTTCCAGTACTCCTCGCCACAATCCACTCCTTTGCCTACCAGTCACTCGCTCTCAGCTCCACCTTCGGACGAGTCCGTAGAGCCGAGTGGGCTGAGTGGCTCGGATCCAGAGCTTTTGGGCTGCCTCATGTACCTGATGACCTGCACTCGACCTGACCTTGCCTACCCTCTTAGCATCCTGGCACGCTACGTTGCGCCCGGGAGACACCGACCAGAGCACTGGGAGGCCGCGAAAAGGGTGTTGCGCTACTTGCGCAGTACATCGGGCATGGGGCTTGTGCTTGGAGGACGGGGTCCAGTTGTCCTCACTGGACACGCAGACGCGTCTTGGGTTGACGACCTGGCTACGCAGCGGTCGTCACAGGGTTACACTTTCAGCCTTGGCTCCGGTTCTGTTTCTTAGCGGTCTACCTGCTCATCTTCTGTTCTCAGTTCCACTTATGAGGCTGAGATCTACGCAGGGGCCATGGCTGCACAGGAGTTACGCTGGCTGACCTACTTGCTGGCCGACTTGGGAGAGCGGCCTCGTTCTCCTCCAGTTCTGTACGTAGACAACAAGGCCATGATTGCCTTGTCTCAGGAGCATAGACCGGAGCACAGAACGAAGCACATCGCTCTGCGTTGCTTCTTTGCTCGAGAGGTGTAGCAGCGTGGTCAGCTTCGTCTTGCTTATGTGGCCACTCGGGCCAACACTGTTGATATATTCACCAAGGCACTTCATCCAGGTGATCATCAACGTTTCTGTACTGTTTTAGGCGTTGTGCCTACTTTACCTCACTTGCACACTACGTGACTTTGCTTGTACTGTGATCTATATATATATATATATATACCTGCATGCTTACACTTGCTAGGTTATGATCACTGTACTATTTGTTCTCTTTTATATAACTCTGCATGTGAACTGGCCTTGTGGCCATTTGCTTGTGCTCAGAGTGTGTGGTGACTTTTGGCCTTGTGGCCATTTGCTTGTGCTCAGAGTGTGTGGTGACTTTGTGATCCACCCTGAGTTTGCTTTGCTTTTTCTTGACTAGTCTTGTGACCACTTGTTCTCCCCCACTTTCCCTATGAGGGTATGTCAAAATGTTATGATGCTAATATTGTCTAGGCTGTTGTGGGGTAGCTCATCAGGGGTACAACCCAATTAGGGTTAGTACTTGTGCCAACTTTCTGCTCAATGCATTTTTTCTCGTTCATTATTCTGACAGTGGAGTCTAAATATCGGTCGTGTGCATAGGATCAATGGTAACAACGAGCTGACTTCCTCAACTGCTGTGTCTCACTTACCGTCTCACTCAGTTACTAACTCTCTGGTCGCCTGTTGCAGCTGCATCCCTCACCGCGTCTCGTCTGGTGAAAACGATCCTGCTAGACCCCGCCATTGTCCTGATATCCACCGGGAGCTCCAAGCAGGAATGGATTTGCACCCAGACATGTTGCGGAAAAGGCTCACGGGAAGCTGTTTATTGCTGCTGCAGAACACATCACCACTGCTCGTCATCTGCATTGCCAAGGAGAGTTGGGTGCTTTTACCCGTGTGACCTGGGTGAGCTGCGCAACTATCTTGGCTTGCAGATCACCCGGAACAGAGCACGGCGCACCATCACCCTGACTCAGTCACACATGGTGCACCAGGTCCTTCAGCGCTTCGGCTTCCGGTACTCCTCGCCACAGTCCACTCCTCTGCCTACCGGTCACTCAGTCTTAGCTCCACCTTCTGACGATTCTGTAGAGCCGAGTGGGCTGAGTGGCCCGTATCCAAAGCTTGTGGGCTGCCTCATGTACCTGATGAACTGCACTCGACCTGATGTTACCTACCCTCTTAGCATCCTGGCACGCTACTTTGCGCCCGGGAGACATCGACTAGATCAATGGGAGGCCGCTAAGAGGGTGTTGCGCTACTTGTGCAGTACATCGGGCATGGGGCTCGTGCTTGGAGGACGGGGTCCAGTTGTCCTCACTGGACACGCAGACGCGTCTTGGGTTGACGACTTGGCTACACAGCGGTCGTCACAGGGTTACACTTTCAGCTTTGGCTCCGGCTCTGCTTCTTGGTGGTCTACCCGCTTGTCTTTTGTTCTCAGTTCCAGTTGTGAGGCTGAGATCTACGTAGGGGGCCATGGCTGCACGGGAGTTATGCTGGCTCACCTACCTGCTGACCGACTTAGGAGAGCGGCCTCGTTCTCCTCCAGTTCTGTACGTAGACAACAAGGCCATGATTGCCTTGTGTCAGGAGCACAGACTGGAGCACAAGACGAAGCACATCGCTCTGCGTTACTTCCATGCTCCAGAGCTTGTCAAGCCCGATCTAGCTTGGTCTGCTGTGACCTGGTTTGGCCTGAACTTGTCGAGTCTGGATCCTGATCTGGCCCGGTCTGTTGTTCCCTAGTTTGGGCTAGTCTGTTCAGGCTTGGGGCCTCTAATGGTATGGGGTTTTATTGCTTGTACCATGGTTTGGGCTGGTCTGACCTCCTATCCTCTTTTCTGTTAGCATGACTAGGTTAAGGGAATATGATGTCAAAGTACAATCTTACTTGTAGGCTTTAGTGGGGCACTCCTTATGGGGTACAACACTTCTAGGGTTAGTACTTTTACCCCATTTGTTGCTAATCCAATCATTCCTGCACAGTTATCCTGACATGGTATTCAGAGCAGGAAACCTGTTAAGTTTTTAGGGCTTACCGATAGTTTTGCTCGTTCCTGCCCGAAGCGCCCCTGCGATGTCCGGCCCTGCTCGCACAGTGTCGCGCTGCCTTGCAGCTACTCGCACTGCCTGCCCCCCCCCTCCCCCCCCCCCCCCCCCCCCCCCCCCCCCCCGCCCCGCACGTCGCGCCCTGCTGCAGCCCGCGCGTCCCGCTCTGCTGCTCCGCGCCTCACGCCCTGTTGCAGCCTATACGTCGCGCCCTGCTGCCCTGCGCATCGCGCCCTGCTGCAGCCAGCGCGTCGCGCTCTGCTGCCCCTGCGCGTCACGCCCTGCTGCAGCCAGCGCGTCGCGCCCTGCTGCAGCCAGCGTGTCGCGCCCTACTGCAGCTAGCGCGTCGCGCTCTGCTGCCCTGCGCATCGCGCCCTACTGCAGCCAGCGCGTCGCGCCCCACTGCAGCCAGCACGTCGCGCTCTGCTGCCCCTCGCGTTGCGCCCTGCTGCAGCCAGCGCGTCGCGCCCTACTGCAGCCAGCACGTTGCGCTCTGCTGCCCCACAGGTCGCGCCCTGCTGCCCTGCACAGCGCGCGCCATGCTGCCCTGTCCACCGCGCGCCCTGTTCTGCAGCCCGCGGCGCGCCCTGCCCAGCCCGAGCGGTCCTGCCTAACCCGAGCCGCCCTACCTTGATCACCAGCCCTACCGAGCCGCCCTGCTGCCACTACTGCTGCTGCTGCTACTGCTCGTGCTACTGTTGCTGCTGGTAGAGGTGTTGCTGGGAGTGTTGGGAGTGCTGCTGGTGCTGGGGGTGCAAGAGGTGCGATTGGGAGTGCTGGAGGTGCTGCTGGTGCCGGAGGTGCTGGACCTACTACTGACCGTCACTGCGTGACATGGCCACTATCACGGCAGTTGCAGCGGCTAGGGGTGGACAGCAGCGGTCACTGCCTCTCCCGGACGACCCCAACCCTCCACAGCTTCGAGAGTGGGTTCTTCAGCGAGCCCGTCCAGTCGGTGGAGGCTTTGGTTTTCTACGTACTGCACAGAGGCGGCAGCAGAGTCAGCAGGAGACCTTCTCCCCTCAGGTGCTTAGTGAGTTGTTTCCTCAGCGATGTGTCACTGGTTCTAGTGAGTCTTCTATAGCACTAGGTGGTAGTGAGTCTGATGTAGCTTTAGTTGCTCGTGCGTCTCCCGCCAGAGGTCCTTCCTCAGCTGAGGCCTTGCACACTTTCACACTTGACTCAGGCGCGTCACGTTGCCTCTTTTGTGACTGCACCACACTCACACCACTTGCTGCACTGGTACCGGTCTCACTGGCTGACCCCTTTGGGGGCCCAGTAGTCGCACGAGCCTCCACTGTCCTCCCGTGTCCAGTAGTCCCCTCTGGTTCTCTGTCAGGTCTCCACCTCCCCACGTTCTCGACGAACTTGGTGAGCAATGCTGCCATTCAGGATGTCTGGGTTGATACCTTTATTCCTGGAGGGCAGCGTGTGGCGATCTGTACGTGCTCCCGGACTGGCCGTCACCTGGCTACGTTCACTGGACGGCCTGGGTCTAGTCTGTACACATTGACCACTGCGTCTGCACAGGTGGCTAAGGCAGGTCAGGTGGCTGCGTCGAGTCAGGTGTCTGCGTCTGGTCAGCTTGCAGCGTCTTGCTCGTGCTGGGTACTCTCCCACCAGACTCTCCTCTAGCACCACCGCCTCGGTCACCCCTCCCTACCACGTCTCCGTGGTATGCACTCCCGTCTCCTTGTCTCTGGCCTTCTCAGGTCCCTGCCCTCACTCCCGTGCTCGCCTGCCCAACCGTGCCTTCCCTGCGTCAAGGAGCGGCAGCGCGCCGCTCCTCATTCCTCCGAGTTTCCTCCGACCACTGCTCCTCTGCAGACTCTCCAAATGGACGTTTGGGGCCCAGCCCCCATCGGTGGAACGGACCAGGAGCGCTACTTCCTGCTGGTTGTTGACGACTACACACGTTACACCACTGTCTTCCCCTTGCGGCGCAAGGCGGACGTCAGCGGTGTTTTGATCCACTGGATCCGTGCTACTCATTGCCAGTTGCGCGAGCGGTTCAGTCGGGACTTCCCAGTCCTGCGTCTGCACTCTGACAGGGGCGGTGAGTTCTCTTCTGACCTCCTTGCGGAGTTCTATCAAGACGAGGGCATCGTCCAGTCGTTCACGCTTCTGGCCTCTCCTCAGCAAAATGGGATTGCTAAGCGTCGCATTGGCTTGATCATGGAGGTTGCTTGTACCTCCATGATCCATGCGGCTGCTCCCCATTTTCTGTAGTCGTTTGTGGTCCGATACGCTGCACATCAGCTCAACCTCTGGCCTCGTGTCTCTGAGCCAGAGACCTTGCCCACACTCTGGTGGACGGGGAAGGTTGGCGATGCATCGGTGTTTTGGGTCTGGGGCATGCTCTCCCTTGTTTGCGATGCCAAAGCGAGCAAGCTCTCCTCACGCACTCTCCGCTGCGTCTTCCCTGGCTTCCCCACCGACACCCCACCGTGGCAGTTTTACCACACGCGCTCGCGTCGAGTCTTCTCCTCCCAGGATGTCACCTTTGACGAGTCTGTGTGTTACTACAGGCTACACCCGCACGCGTCCCACCCGGTCCCCCTAGCGCCTCTTTTCTTAGTACCAGTCCCCCCCCGGTAGACCCCCTCCCCCCCACTGGGTCCTGCTCCCTCAGGTGTGTCTCAGGTAGACCCACCCCCCTTGGTTGAGCCTTTGGAGGTCTCTTTTGACTCCTCTGGCCTAGCTGAGGGGGGTGACCCCGCCGCTGATGACATGGCGGCCACTCGCCGCTCTCCATGCTTGGAGACCCCCCCTAGTTTTCCGCCTCGGCCGTCTTTGCCGCCTCCGCAGCCTGCTGCTGTGGACTCTATAGCTAAGACTGTTGGTTCTGAGCCTGGGGGTGCTGAGGCAGAGGGTGAGGGTTATGGGGGTGCTGCGACTGGGGGTGATGCGACTGGGGGTGCTGGTTCTGGGGGTGTTGCAACAGGGGGTGCTGGTTCTTGGGGTGCTGCGATTGGGGGTGCTGACTCTGGGGGTCCTGCGAGTCCTAGTGGCGGTGGAGCTGTGGGTGACCCTACTGGAGGTCCTGAAGCTGGATAGCCACCGAAGCCTAACCTACTTGAGACGCTCTCGCCGCAGGCGATTCGTGCGTGGATCGTTCGGCGAGGAAGTCCTTGTGGTGGAGGGTACGGTCGTGCTGGTGCTGGAGCTGCTAGTCCTGGAGGTAATGCTGGTGCTAGAGGTTCTGGAGGTACTGCTGGTGCTGGAGGTGCTGCTGGTGCTGGAGGTGCCGGAGCTACTAATCCTAGAGGTGCTACTGCTGCTGGAGGTGCTGGACCTACTAGTCGTGGAGGTATAGCTGGTGCTGGAGGTGCTGCTAGTGCTAGAGGCGCTGGAGCTGGAGGTACTGGAGGTGCTGGAGCTACTGGTACTGGAGGTGCTCGTACTGGAGGTACCGGAGCAGTCAGAGCTGGTGGTGCTGTTCGTGCTGGAGGTGCTACTGGAGCTGCTGGCAGTGGAGGTACGGGAGGTAATGCTGGTGCTGGAGGTGCTGGAGCTGCCGGAGCAGGTGGTACTGCTGGTGCTGGAGGTGCTGGAGGTGCTGCTGGAGCTGTTGGCACTGGAGGTGCTGGAGGTACTGCTGGTGCTGGAGGCGCTGGAGCTGGAGGTACTGGAAGTACTGGAGGTGCTGGAGCTGCTGGTCCTGGAGGTGCTCGTACTAGAGGTACTGGAGCTGCCGGAGCGGGTGGTGCTGCTGGTGTTGGAGGTGCTAGAGGTGCTACTAGTGCTAGAGGTCCTGGCATTGCCGGAGCTAGTGGTGCTGCTGGTGCTAGAGGTGCTGGAGGTGCTGCTGGAGCTCCTGGTACTTCCCTGCGGAAACCGTTTTTCTACCCACAGCCGCAGTCGTCCCTGCCGCCGCCTGACTCGGTCCTTTGCCATGTTCTTAGTCTCCCGTCTTCCACTGGCCTCCCTCTACCCCTCCTGTGTCCACCGACCGACGAGTCTCAGCCACAGCTAATGCCTGGCTCCCCGCTGCCTGCGCCTGCTCCTCACACTGAGGTGATTGAGTCCCTTACTGAGCATCGTGAGCCTGAGACTCGTGCTTCCACACCTGTTCGTGCTCGTCGTGTCGCCCGTCCTCGTCCTCCTGCTGTCCCAGGCACTCATGGTATGGCACTTCATCCTTCCTCTGTTCCACAGCGTGTTGTCCTGCCTGAGCCTCCCGCGTCCTCTCTTCCGCACGTTCCTGACCCTGAGTCTGACCTTGCTCGTGCTGCCAGTCCTACTGTCACTCGTCTCCTCGCTACTGTCGTCACTGACCCTGACCTTGAGTCTACTGCAGCGTTTGCCCTAGTCACTGAGCTAGTCGACTTTGCAGCTAGGAGTCGTCTCGACTACGTCGCGAGTCTTGTCACTGAGTCTGAGTCTGTCTGACCTCCGTCCGTCGGGGGTGAGCTTGCCCTTGGCAGTGACGTACTTGAGGACAGACATTTTGAGCTTGAGTGTCCTACGGCCGCTTTACCTCATTTCGCATCCATGATGTTTTTTCCGTGAGGGAGACCCGGATGCACTTGACATCCCTACCCCGCGCTCTTACGCTGAGGCGATCGCGGGTGAGTACTCCGCTCAGTGGCAGAACCCATGGACGCAGATATGGCTTCTTAGAAGTCCACAGGCACCTACGTCGACGAGGTTCCTCCTCCTGGGGCGAACATAGTCGATGGCATGTGGATTTTCAGAGTGAAGCGGCCGTTGGGTTCTCCGCCTGCCTTCAAGGCGCGTTACGTTGCTCGAGGCTTCAGTCAGCGACTTGGGGTCGACTTCTTCCAGACCTTCTCCCCCACCCCGAAGATGACTACTCTTCGGGTGCTGCTGCACGTTGCAGCATAGCGTGACTACGAGCTGCACTCCCTCGACTTCTCCACAGCTTTCCTGCAGGGCAGCCTTCACGAGGAGATCTGGCTGCGCCGCCCACCTGGCTTCATTGGGTCGTTTCCTGCGGGTACCCAGTGGAGCCTCCGCCGGCCAGTCTACGGTCTACGCCAGGCGCCCCGAGAGTGGCACGACACACTGAGGACTACAGTTGCGGCTCTTGGGTTTGCTCCGTCCTCTGCTGACCCGTCGCTATTTCTACGCACCGACACTACCCTGCCGCCGTTCTACGTTCTCCTGTACGTCGACAACTTGGTTTTTGCTACTGCTGACACTGAGGCGCTGGTCCTAGTGAAGATGGAGCTGCAGGAGAGACACATTTGCACTTACCTGGGTGAACTGCGCAGCTATCTTTGCTTGCAGATCACCCGGGACAGAGCACGGCGCACCATCACCCTGACTCAGTCACACATGGTGCACCAGGTCCTTCACCGCTTCGGCTTCCAGTTCTCCTCGCCACAGCCCACTCCTCTGTCTACCGGCCACTCGCTCTCAGCTCCACCTTCGGACGAGCCCGTAGAGCCAAGTGGTCCGTACCTAGAGCTTGTGGGTTGCCTCATGTACCTGATGACGTGCACACGACCTGACCTCGCGTACCCTCTTAGCCTCCTGTCTCACTACGTGGCTCCCGGTAGACACCGAAAGGTGCACTGGGATGCTGCAAAGAGGGTATTGCGTTACTTGTGCAGTACATCGGGCATGGGGCTCGTGCTTGGAGGACAGGGTTCAGTGGTACTCACAGGACACTCCGACGCTTCTTGGGCCGACGACCAGGCGACTCAGCGTTCGTCACAGGGTTACACCTTCAGTCTTTGCTCTGGTTCTGTCTCTTGGAGGTCCACTCGATCTTCTTCTGTGCTTAGTTCCAGCTGTGAGGCCGAGATCTACGCTGGGGCCATGGCTGCACAGGAGCTACGCTGGCTCACCTACCTGCTGACCGACTTGGGGGAGCGGCCTCGTTCTCCTCCAGATCTGTACGTCAACAAAAAGACAATGCTTGCCTTGTGTCACGAGCAAAGACTGGAGCACAGAACGAAGCACATTGCTCCTCGCTACTTAATTGCGCGTGAGCTGCAGCAGCGTCGTCAGCTCCGCCTTTCCTACGTGGCCTCGTGGGCCAACACTGCTGATGTGTTCACCAAGGCCCTTGGGTCTAGTGGTCATCAGCGTTTCTGCACTGCTCTTGGGCTTGTGCCCACTCTGCCTCACCTGCTGGTTGCTTGACTTGCTCTTGTTGTACACTAATATATATCTTTATACCTGCTTGTTTACTCTTGCTAGGTTGTGATCAGTGTACTGCCTTGCTATTATAACTCTGCATGTGAACTGGCCTTGTGGCCGCTTGCTTGTGCTCGGATTGTGTGGTGTCCTTGAGATCCACCGTGAACTTTGCTTTGCTTTGCTCTGTTGTCTTGCTTGACTGGTCTTGTGACCGTCTTGTTGTCCCCTGTTAGAACTTGAGATGATTGAATAGGATCGTATTACTTAGGATGGTAGCTTCCTGTCGTAGCGGAAGTCTTGTATGAATTAAAGCCAGTTAAGGAGGCTTTGTCTGGACTAGTGAAAGCCCATGTAGTGATATGTTTCAGGATCAATGTCTCTGAAATCAGATATATTTAAAAATAACAAACATACAAAATATATAGCTAGAGTAAAGTACCTGTTCGCCTACTGTGCTGTGCTATTCTTGTTCTGAAACGGTACGTGACTTTTCGCGAGGCCTATAGCTACGTGCTGACGTCATCCTAGGGCGCGTAGCGCTTTGCTGACGTCAGCCTATCGGTACTTTACTGTTTCGTGCGAAGTCTCGCACTGTACTACACGAATCCTTGAAGTGCTTAAGTCTTCATTTTATCTCAACACTCCCCTTCACTTCTAGGAGTTCGGTGTAGTTACCCGGTTGTCTCAGAAACGCCGCTGAGCTGGTTGCAGTGGTGAAATTTGTGTCGTGTCAGTTTCTTGGTAAGTGAGTCAGCTGCCATGTCACCAGTGGGACAGTAGACAAGGCGCATCCTCCCCTTGTCGATCGCATCTTTGACGAAGAAGTAACGCAGTGAAATGTGTTTCGTGCGATTGACGAAGCCAGGTTTGTTGGCGATGGTAATCGCACTCTGGTTGTCGCACTGCAACGTGAATTGATTCGGCGTGACAAACTTTGCTTCGTCGAGCAGTTCCTGTAAGTATAGTCCTTCTCGAGTTGCAGCACATGCAGCAATGAATTCTGCTTCAGCCGAGGAAAGTGACACGAGTTCTTGTTTCGATGAGTTCCACAAGATCGGGCCAATTGGCTCGAGACAAAAAATGTAGCCTGTTCGTGACCGACGCTCTGACGTGTCACCAGCGTGGTCTGCGTCAACATATCCGCTGAGGTACATTTTGTCGGTCGGTTTTCCTGTGTTGAAAATCAGCCCGACTGTTGGTGTTGCGACAAAGTAGTGTAGAGCGCGCTGGAGATCGAGGTGGTGTTCTTCTTTTGGGCAGCGTAAAAATTGTGCGAGATAGCTTGCAACATACGCAAGGTCGGGACGACACGTGACTGCTGCGAAGAGAAGGCACCCAAGTTGCTGCTGGTACAGTTGTAGACCAGCTGCCGAAAGTTTGGTGTTGTTTAGGATGTGCCCGGTGGGTGTAGACCGATACGGTGTAGCGACGTAATCTGTAGAAATCTTGAAATGCTTAGCGAGTGACCCAGCATACTTCGATGCTGTGAGGTGAATGGCGGAGGAGGTTCGCGAAATGTTTAACCCAAGAAATTGGGTTACTTCGATGGAGACGGTTAAGTCGAGGGATTTCTTCAGATCTGCTTCGATGCGATCACCCAAGGAAGCCGAAGAACTTACGTAGAGAATATCATCCACGTATGCCACGAGTAGCGCGTAGCTCCCCTTGTCGTCTAGTCGATACATTCCGGGATCATGCGGCAGTTGTCGGAACCCAACTTCTGTAAGTTTCCTGTTCAAATGCTGCTGCCACAGTCGCGGTGCTTGTTTGATACCGTACAGTGACTTCTTGAGCTTGCAGACACTTGGCGGATTTGTCGGATAGGTATGTGGATATTCGACGTAGATTTCAGCATCGACGTCAGCGTACATAAATGCGTTGGAAACGTCAATTTGTCGAAGCGGAAAATTCTTCGCAGCTGCTTCGCAGATGACGAGACGAACACTTGTGTGTCGGCTGACCGGGGCAAAAGTTAGCGTCTAGTCTACCCCATGAGTTTGGTCAAAACCGCGAACAACCCACCTTGCCTTATGTTTTTCATAAGAGCCATCAGCTTTCGTCTTCACCCTGAAGACCCATTTTCCGGTAAGAATGTTTTTATTTGCAGCTTTTTCGATGGGTATGAGATCCCAAGTCTCCCGTTTTTCCAGGGCAGCCAGTTCACGATCCATGGCTTCATGCCATTTTTCGCGATGTGGTCCTGAAAGGGCCTGTCGGGCAGTTTTCGGTTCTGCGACTTCTGTAGAATTGTGCTGTACTGCTGCTGCGAGTCCCAGTATCTGAAGCCCAGTTTGATAATTAGGGTTGTCTTCGGTCCGTCCTGCGAAATTGACAGGTTCACTCTGTTCACCACTTGCCCCCCCAATTTCGTCAGGATCGACGCGGATGCTGCTGTCTGTTACAGCTGGCATGGGACGTCGTTGATCGTCCACCAGGTAAGTATGATGAACTTCACGAACATCGTCCGGATGAGCGTCGACGAGAGGAATGGATTCCGGAAATCCGGAAGAGGTGGTTGGTATAGGTGGATCAGGAGCAGCTTCACGTGCACCGTCAATGTCAGGTTCTTCGCTGGCAGCGAGTTCGGCGTCAGCGCTGGCGAATGAACGAACACCGTGGAAAAGTGTAGCAGGGTCACGCTGCGTGGCGAGATACTGTTCGAAGACAGGAAGGGTTAGATTTTCATAGAAAATACAGTCGCGAGCAGGAATTAAAAGACGACTGCGATAATCCATGATACGCCAGGCAGAAAACTGCTTCTCAAGGCCGAGATGAAGACCCCACTTAGCGCGTTGATCGAACTTTCCGAGCGGAGCGGTGGGAGGACGATATTGCACGATACACCCAAAAACTCGAAGAAGTTTC